ATTTCACCACAATTATGCTGTTCAAGATTTTCTTCTGCGAACGTTAAATTGTTAGATTTTTGAAAATATTTTCTTCTGTCTCTTGTACATCTCATTGCTTGTACATGTGTACAATGTCACCCTCTTCCTGGTTCTCAATTGCCAGCATTCGTTGTATTCTAATTCTATAATATTATCTTCTACTATCTGCTTCTTCCTTCAATTAGTTCTATCTTCTTTCTGCAGTTTTGCATCTGACATGTTCTCTTCTAGCATCTGCTCCTTCCTGTGATTGGTTCTGTCTTCTTTTGCTGTTCTGTTTCTATCACATTTTATTCTAGCGTCTGCTTATTTCTGACTTTTGTTGGCAAGTTGCTATCTCCTGTATTGTGCATCAGCAGCTCGTCTTGATGCTCTCAACTCAGCACTTTGTGTTGCTCATTGTCTTATCTTCTTTCAATGAGCCAATCTTCTGTTTCTTTCTGCTGTTGTTTCCATTACTAAACTTCTAAAATGATTCTGTATTTATTCTGCATTTTTGAGTCTATCATATGCTCTTCTGGTCTTATCAATATTTCATCAGTGAGTGACCGATTAGGCAAATGAGTGTCAAACTAAATTGTGTCATAAGTGCAACTTCGTCGTCTAGGGAAGGCCATCTTTTGAGACTGGAAAACGTTTTCTGCGTAACTTGACGATTTAACAAAGATACATTTTCAAATTGCGAGAAAGATGCAATTTTTTGTACATTTTAGTCCAAATATATTTTAATTTTCGATCAGTCGTAGACTACTAGACTACTCGCTTCTACCTGGCAGGAAGCCAAACTACTTAAGTTACATAATAAGTTGCTATGACATCAGTGCATGACCGATAGACAGACAAGCTATGTTTTATAGTATTAGATGCATAAAACTTTGTACTTTTAGAGTACAACTTATAAACGAACTTTCTTTATGCATAAATAAAAACGTCTGCAATGATTATATTGCACAGATTCCTAATTCATACTAATACTATCTAAGAGATCCAATTCAAATGGCTTTAATAAATTTTGATTTTTAGAAAATACAATAGGTCAGTGGTAGGAGAGGTCGTCACGTGTTCTGTAATGATAGACAATAAATGCGACGTATTTATTAAATGTGAAAGAATCGTCTTTTCTTGTAGACCATACCTTTTATTGCAAAAATCAACAAAACTGAAATATATTGTCAAGAACATGTATCAATCTTGTTCTTAAAAGCTTCAAAAGAAGAATGTATGCACATTATTTGTGATAAATCGTAGATAAAGTCGCCTTTTTCTAACCTGAAGTTTTGTTAATAAATGCTTCAGTATGTGTGATACTTGATATATTGATGATAGTATATTAAGCTATAGTGAGACACGTCAGTTTTAAGTGATAGTAGAGGAGTAATGTGAGGATCAAAAGATCTAATATTCAGCACCATGGGGGACAGTCAAATTAGTTATGGAAGTGCATGATACGTTTTGTAGAATTTCTGAATGAAGAAACCTACTATGATAATATTAGCTCGAATCACTTTGGGGAATGTCCGTTATATTTCGTTTATGTTGATCTATTCTATTTGATTAATAACATACTAGAACAAGTATATACTGCAGGTTTTATTACATTGTGCTGCAGGTCTGTATTTTATAAACTAAGATGTTTTAAGTTTTCGTAAGTAGTGTATTAATGTATTTTGAAGTTTTGTTAACAACTGTTTCGGTATGTATGATACTTAAGTCTGTGATTTTACATATATATATATATATATATTAATGATAGTATATTGGGCTCTGATGAAACATGAGTTTTATATAAGAAATGTAAATGGAGACTTGTGTTAGTTGTTCAAACATACTTGTTAGAAACTGATACTCATGGGGTGTAATTTATAACAAATTTGAATATTTAGTCTGAACACTGATTTGTAACTGTCGATTTGTATAATTTTTAAGTGAAAAGACAATTCATGTTACTGAAACATTGCTTCAAAATCTACAATAGGAAAATATCTGTTTTGAGATGTAAAATAGTCGATAAACTAGTTTTATGAGCCTAGAAACTGAAATCTCACATGTTTAGTTTTCATTGAACGTGTAGTGTGAACAAATAATACTGCTGGAGTCACAAAATAATTATGTTTAACTATAATGTACATGTTTAAATCCTTTATTTATTTATGTAGTAACATGTTGTCAGTATGATGTATTAAAATGTCTCGTGAAAATTCAGTGTTTGTTTTCATATAATTTTACACAAATGAAATATATAAACTCTAACTGACACAGTAATATTGACATAATGTACAAAAGTTGTATAAAAGCTAATTCAGTATTTTATAAGTTAAGATGTTTATGTAAATAGTATATTAGCGTATCTTGATGTTTTCCTAATAAACGTTTTATTATACTTGTCAAATCTGTCATACTACATTATTGTTGTAAAATATATTTTGTAATGATAAACAGTAAATATGTTGAGTTTATAAAACTTTTAAAAGTGATTTTCGGTTATAAATTATGTTCATTTGTAAAAATGTATCTGATGCTTTGGTGAACAACTAAGACAAAATTTTATAGTGTAATAGAACTTCTGATTTGTTAACAAATATTGGATAAATATGTTTGAATCATCATAAAGTAACATGAGTTTAATCTTGTACATATACTTACAAACCAGAAATAATATATTTTTCCAAAAATGCATATGTCTGTGTGTTAAAAAAAATATAATTACAGACCTTTACTTTCAATGCTACTGACTTTTTATTTTGCTACTTTTAAGAGAGGACTAGCTGTTTGGCCACATGAAGACCTCTCCTGCTATAGACCCTTTTTATACCCTAAAAATAAAAATTTATTAAAGCCATTTGAGATGGACCTCTTAGAAAGTATTAGTGTGAGTTAGAAATCTGTGCAAATATTCGTTTCAGATGTTTGGTTTATGTACAAAGAAAATTCGTTTATAAACTGTACTCTAAAACTACAAAGTTTTATGAATTTTAATTGTATAGTATACTTTGTACTTCAAATGAATGTTCTATAGAAAATCATAAAATGGAAAGTGTTGCTATTTTAGATAGTTTCTATGAAAGAAAGTGATTTGTTAAACAGTATGCCATTCATTTATCATATTTAGTTTTAGTAAATTATTTACTATAATTATGTTTTCACGAAAAATTCGTTCTTTTCAGGACGATAATTGTAAAAAGTACGTTATGAAAATTAAATGTAGAAGTGAAAACTATATTACAGTACGCTAAATGTGCACTAAATCGATACTTAAATCATAGAGAACACAATTGTCTGTAGAATAGTAATGTGACTGTCTCGTTCAAAATTTATAAAAACGAAACATTAGGTATGATAAAATCCTTTCAGGACAAATAATTATAAAGTATTTAAGGTAAATTAGTGGCTAATGGTTGTCTCATTAAAATAATTGTTTTACTTGTAACTTTTTAGGGCATATAATTAAATCTAGAAATGAAAACTTCAATGTTGATGATATAATCAAATATTGAGACACTCTACGATGAGTTCATCTTTCTATTAAACTAATCTTTTATAGAAACACCATCCCACCTAGCAGCACTAATCTTAGTAACACAGTTTGCCAAGTAATATCACCGGCCTATAGAACCTTAGTAACACAGTTTGCCAAGTAATATCATCGGCCTATAGAACCTTAGTAACACAGTCCACCTAGTAACACCATCTGCCTTTGTAAAATATATGTAATGCAATTAAATATATAAATAAAAAAATATAAATATAAGTTGAGACAAGTTGAAATTTGTTTGTAGTCCTACAGAAGTATAGCAACACTGTCCGCCTATAGAAACATCGTCCGCCTTTATGAAACATATACAATACACCTAGCAAGACCATCTGCCTTGTAACACCATCCACCGATACAAACACTAGCCTTAATTACACAATCCACCTATAGAACCTTACTAACACCATCCGTTTATAGTCACAGGCCTTCTAGTATCGAACTTTGATTTCACTCCTCCTAAGACAGGAGCACACTCTGATGCCACTTCGTGGAACTAGGATTTATCCCTCCCCCAATCAATAGCACCCTCTGATGCCACTTCGTGGAACTAGGATTTATCCCTCCCTAAATCAATAGCACCCTCTGATGCCACTTCGTGGAACTAGGATTTATCCCTCCCTAAATCAATAGCACCCTCTGATACCATTTCAAGGAACTATCATGTAATCGTCTCTAGTGCGTGTCACTATGACGTTATCGTCTCTACCTCTTTACCCCTCCTGAAGCAGCATCCTTTTTATATTGCATAACAATTATGTGACCCTTAATTGTCGGCGTAATTTGCATATTACGTAATAGTTATGTAACCCTCAGGCAGCATCCTTTGATCTCGGCTCACTTGGTGACCCTACATTGAGACGTCATCATTTGGTTACAGCGGTATCCCGATAACTACTGTGGCCAGTTCCTACAGATTTCAACATTCAAATGAAATTCTGTTTTCAACTGAAGAAAATATTTTCTTGTATATCACAATCTCATGTATATAAATAGATATACTTAAAACAATTCATAAATGTTTAAAGTTAAATTTTTAATTACCAACCTATACATATATCTAGATCAACCTCACATTTTAACTTTGTACACTTGCAACAAACGGCATCACCATTCAGTAGCATCCCTGCTACACGTGGCAACTAAATGCAACACTAATCACCAATTCGAATGATATTATAACACATAATTAATCCAAGATAAAACTCATTAGAAATGGATGCTTCTGTTCTAACTCACCATCTGCATCACATTTCGCATTATATGTGTATTCATACATCGTTTAATTTAGTTGAATTGCCAGAAATGACAGAAAAGTTATTTTTGCCATTGTAATGTAAAAACCAGATTGAACTGGTGTGCTTTCCATGATAGTAGTGCTATTAATGGAGTCAGGAAACCAATTACATCAGATAACTACAAGAAACATTTCAGACGAAAACCTAGAAAAATGATAGACATTCCTCCAAACCAAACAGTCCCTGTAAATTTATCATGTTGTGCTAGGCCACATCCGCCTTACTGTAATTCAGAAAGACAAGTATAGACCTACTCGACCGACAGGTGTGTTCTCTGTCATGGCACATCACAAACTAATGTGTAATATCATGTCCATCAACATTTGCCATAAAACTTAACATAATTGCTCCAATTTCAAAGTTCGCAAAGTCACTCCAGCTTATATATATATGTCAGGATTCCCTCATGTAATCAACAGTCAGAATAACTTATTAATGTTCTAGAAAATTATCTAATAGCCTTGGGTGTGCTTACCGTGTTTATCTAACGAGTATCTTACGACGTGATCCGCAGAAATTTCACTACAGGTCACTAGACTGATCGAGCAATAATTGAAAGGCATTGTATCAATGTTTCAAGAGTCATGTCACAACTCTCTTTAAGTTAATGATTTATCAGCTTGACGATCCTAACTATTGTTCAAGTAGTTAATCCCAACCATAGTGATAATAAAAACCAACACTGATGTCTCAGACAATCATCAGAGCAAATAAATATTCCTCTATTAAAACTTCCTCATTTTATATCTCGAGGATTGTCATATAGCACTGCCAGCATCTTTTGGTTCATACTCAGAGTTGAGACTCTACAATACAGAAAAAATCACAATCAGGGTCAACCTACTTATCCACCTCTGATTGCTGTAACACCCAGTTGTTGAGAGGCTCTTTTTCTATTAGTTGGAGATCTACACACCAACTATGAGCAGCTATTTGTATCATAATGACGATGTTGCAATAACTTTTACCACTGCAAGGGTTGCCCCGTTATCAATGACTTATCACTGTGCGGGTTGCCCGTTATCAATGACTTTTACCACTGCACGGATTGACCGTTATCAATGACGTTTATCACTGCACGGATTGACTGTTATCAATGACGTTTATCACTCACTGCATGGGTTCCCCATTATCCAAAACGACTAAGAGATAAAGAAACAAAAACATTGCATCATATTATTATTCAATGTATATTACTCTGGCGTTAACGTTCAGAAGAAATTTGTTAGCTCAAGTATGTTTCTATTCATAATTTTAGCTTATAATTGGATAATACCTCTATTGTAGATGGTGCTGCATTGTTTTGAACTAATTTTTATAATAGCATAAGGCTTATTGAATTTTTAATAATGTAGTGTTTAAAAAATAATAAGTCTAATATTGTTTCAAGACTGCTAGTCAGAGAGTATTTTTTATAGAAACATTGTTGAAGTTTAAAGACCGCTGAGATATCGATATGGCAACTTTTCACTAGGTTCATTTTTAAATTTCCGCAGTTATCAGGCGATCATTGTTAAGTATACAAAGCTTAGCTACAGCGTACCAAAGTCTTGGTATATTACATGGTTAGAAAACCAGTCTATGTAGTTTCTACTATATGTGTTTTGTCTGTAGATTTTTGTGTTGAAATCGTGTGAGGCTCGTGTGATGTTTACGTTTAGAAAATGTATTTTTAACTTATTTTCACTTTCAACGCATGTTGTTTGTGAGTTGGTAGAATACTGAAGAACATGACATAAACACATCCTTACAAAAACCTTTGTTTTGGTAGACGATACTTACTGAAAATTCAAAACAAAAAGAAATAAACACTATAATTTTTATTCTTTAATAGATTGTTTAGGCACAATATTCATGATGAAACTTTGTAAAATGAATGACAACTGCCTGTTGTAGAGACACAAGTGTAGTGGGCGACGTTACGAAAGTCTTCCATTCTACAAAGTTTCAACTGTTGTTTTTATATTTTATAGTCCTCTTACCAGAACATTGAGGAGGTGCATTATTTTTAAGTCAGGCAAACTAAAATGAAGGACTTGCTTCTATATTCACAGACATTCCGTAAAGCTCTTTTATAAAGTTTTAATCTGTCATGAACTTAGCACACATATATTTTTCCTGATGCTATGTCTCTTTGTTACATAATTATCTTAAGTCTAATAAGAATAGACAGAAATAAAACACGAACGAAATAAAAAGGTTTTCGAAACTGACGTAAACTTTGAGCCTTAAAAATGTTGTCATTCAGATTATACAAAGTATTTTGAATTCAACAAACACAATTATAATTGATTCATACCTACATTATTGTCATAAAGCTTATTTTCAGTTACCAACACCTTATCGAACAATAGCGCCATCTATAGAACAGATAGGAATATGTTGAGCACATCATCGCATATTATATCAGAAGTATTGTGTTTCAGAGAACTACACCACAAAAGGGGACTTTTAGGTTACTACTACAGCACCGAAACCAGCTAATAATAATCACAGTTTAACGCTAAAGTGCTTAAAGTATTCCTGGGCGCTCTGCCAATACTATTACGCAAGTACGGTTGGAGTAACGTTTCGATTTTAAAGTAGGTTTCTACTTTTCATGCTCCTAGCTTATAGTTGTATAATAGCTCTATTGTAGATGGTGCTACATTGTTTGAAAGGATTTTTTTCTAAACCAATTAATTCAAGTAGAATAGATGATAGTTTGTCTATTCTATGGTTTTTGGTTTTAAAATAATAATTACCCATGTGTTAGATATATTGTTTATCTGATTTCAGCCTCTCTTGGGTTTAAATAAATATTGCTTCTTTAAGGTAAAGCACGATTAGATGTACTTTAGATTCGTTATTAACATTTTTTTCGTAAGATTACTAAAGGATGTGTTACATAACTGTGTTTCGTTTAACAAAGGTGAATGAGCAGTCGCAATGTTTTGATGCCTTAATATATATATGTATCGTCTGTTTCATTAAGTATAGTTTTAAACGTATCCCTAGTTTCGCCACACTTCAAAGATAATAGCTTAGTTGCTAAAATTTCTATTTACTTTCGTGGTCTTCATATGTTTATACTTAATCACATATCTATTAGCTGTACTGTGATATTCTGCAATATTTTTAATAGAACAACATGATTGTTCAGGCCATGAAAATATATATCGCTCCATTCCACAAAGAGACAGTATTCACTGAATAACGACGGAAAGAGAATTGTGCCTGATAACACGTTTCGACGTGTTCTCCCATATGGAGCTTAAGTTATATATATATATATATCCAAAACCAACTAAAGATGTCTCTTGACATGTAAACCATAGTTTTGTTTTGTTTTTAAGTTAACAATTTCTGACAGTTTATTTATTTCTGATCTGGAGACTACAGAAGAGTTTGGCTACATAATATAAATTAAGTTTTAATTTACTAGCATTTTATCGCTAGCTGATGCGATTTTATAATCTCGTTAGGCAAGAGCAATTTTTTTCAGAGGCCATTCAAATTATTCTTGCTTTAGTTTACTTTCGTCAAACATATTTGATGTCATAAATAAATATGAGAATTTTCATTGGTGGGTTGACAGAAAAAAGATGTGCAGCACCCGTTTCCATTAATCGCTGAACAGTGTGTCTCTAAATGCGGAGAAGGTACTGAAGCTGGAATTAAAAGGTTTAATATTAGAATCCGTAAAAAATGGTGTAACATATAACTGTAAGTAAGTTAGTTCTCTATAGAGTAATTTTAGCTATTATTCCCCTATCGTCAATTCTGCTTTTGTTTAATTTCGCGCAAAGCTACACGAGGGCTTTCTAATTTGGCAGTGTAAGACTAGGGGGAAGGCAGCTAATCATCACCTCCCACCGCCAACTCTT